CACTCGCTTGACTTCAGAGTTACCTACCCCCTAACAGTAGTAAGCAGTTAGATCTGACAAATTTGCTCTGCACCAAAAGATATTCCCAACTATCAGCCATTTCCTTCCCACATATTTGACTAATAGCCTCAAAACATTTCTGAAAAAGAAGCCTATATGGCCAATTTTTCCAAGCTCTTCTAATCTCTCTCTTGTCCCAAATATCATCCCAGTGAAATAACATCTCCCATCTTTCTTGCAGGCTATAGCTGTATCTATTAGAATATTGAATTCTAGCAAATCTCTCTGCATTGAACTTGATAATATTTTCATAGTTCAAGGGTACTAGTCCTACTTCAGCTTGGGAAATCATTTCCCTATCAGTCCACTGACATTCACAGAATCTCCCTAATGATGTCCAAACATCTGTACGAAATGTCTGAATAACCATAGTGCCTAGATAAGCTAACAGTTGATATGTTTTGTAGCTTTCAACATTATTGATCTCAGATAAAAGACAACCAAATTGCTGAATGATGGCAAGGTTGCTTCTTTTCTGCAATAATGACTGAGATTGTGGCAGGCCAGCAGGATGAATCTGAATAAAGTTGAATGCAGGAGTATTTTGATACATCTTCCCTTACTGCCAGGTCTGCCAATCAATAGAATTCAAGGGAAGCCAAGCAAAGTTGAATAACTTTAACTGCTTCTTCAGCCCTAATCCTGGATACTTCCTTTGAGAAGTTAAGCTGCAATTGTCTCCACAGATATCCCCCATCTTCTCTAGAATGATTGTACTGTAGGAGGCTTTTTGAAGTTGTAGGAAGATTCTGAATATTCTGGACAGATCATCAGAAGCTTCCATTTTTAAATCTGGTGAATGTAGGTTGCTGAAAACAGATTCAAGACCTAGCCCAAATCTTAGGAAGTTGGCCTCTAGAAATTGAAAGATTTCCTGATTCTTAAAATTCCAACAGCTCAGTGCCACCCCTGCTGGCTCAATCTCAGACTCTTGCAAGCACAGCTTCTCAAAAAGTTGCACAGATAGTCTATGTTCTTGTCTGACACCAAAACATATCCCTCTCTTATTGGCACCTTCTATTGCTCTTAGGATTCTGTCTCTTGAAAAAGTATATGCCTGCTTTAACTTTTCAAGATCAAAGTTAAGGCCAGGCCCTGTTGGACCAGCTGATTGCCATGATTTTAGTACATCAGGACTGAGTGAAAGGTATTCAAATGCTGAATTTTGAAAAGGATAGGAACCAGCAGCATCAAACAGGCTTTTCAAGGGAGAGTAGCTTTGTGAATAGACTAATCCTTGCTGGCCAAGCTCAGATATTCTGGAGTACTCTACAGTTTTGTTTGCACATAAACTGTTTAATGCCCAGGTATAAACCCCAGTCTTTAAGCCCTTGCATTTTTCCTTAAGTTTTGCAATACCACTTTCAATACAGCATCTCTTGTGAAGCAAAACTCTTTGTTTTTCACTGCTCATAACCTCTTGTCCTAAATCAAGATATTGGAAGTCTCTGTCCAAGCCTTCAACTTGAATGTCCTGTAGTAAAAGCCTCCAAAATCTTTCTCCACTAGTCTCAGGACTTTTAGCCTTGGTTATCAACTTCAAATCTTTTGCATCCAGAAGCAAAAACATATTTTGAAACTGGGTATAGCCAGTCTTGGTTGAAAATTTAACCATATCCTGCCAAACTTTCTCCAATTTATCTGAAGGAAGAAAGTAGTGAATTTCTTGCCTCCTAGATGGAAGCTGACCATTGGGTGTAGATTTAATACCAGACTCTCTGCTTCTAGCATAAATATCCATGTAGGCTGAGTTAAAGGTGGTAGGCAAATGTTGTAGGATATCTGAGGAAAAGTGGTGGTGAATACTCGGTAGAAATCCAATATCCATCCACTGCTGTAAGAGCTGATTGGTGAGGAAGGTGTTGGCAGAGGATTCAAAACTGTAAAGAGAGGGTAGAAAAACATAGACTGGAATATGAAGAGCAGAAAAGATTGTTCCTAAACGAAAGTGGGGAATATGATGAAGAGGAATTTGATGAGATTTTATATTTCCAGAAAGCAATCTTTTTGGAATAGGAGCAGACAGGTGAATATCTTTAGTGATATTGTGTAGAGGATTAGGACATATTTGAATTCTGAGGCCATGTCTGGCAACAGACAAACACTTTGCTTTTCCAATAAAGCTATCAATATCATAAGAACATTGAACTGGAAACATAAGTTCTTTATTCTCCATCATCAATCTTGGTATTTGGGTAGGATCTGATTTTGGCTCAACTCCATGAAACATCGGTGACCATTGACTGCTGGTTACTGTACCAGAATATCCAAACTTTGTTGCTTGTGGATAATCAGATGGTAATGACTTTCTCAAGATACTTGTCACCATGCCAAGGGTAACTGTGTTACAACTCTTATTGACTTTATCTGGAATAACTGGACCAGAATGGCTTGGACAATGTTGGTGGTTTGATAACATTTCCACAAGCAAATCCACTGACTTTTGTTGAGAATTCTGATGTAACATGGGAGATATATAAGTATCTGGCTCTGAATCTGAGGATATTTCAATAATCGTATGGTCTCCTATAAATTTATTAATATTATAGATATAAATTGCTTATAGAACCTGTAAACTGGACTTACTTGAAGTTGAGAGTGAGGATGGACTCTTAAACAAAGACAATGATGGTCCTAGAGCAGAATCCTTAGCTCCAATCTCCTGGAAACTAGTGGTTGCTAGTATATGTTCTGAACTCTGCTCTCTCTCCCAGGAGTTCAATTCTGAATCTAAATTAAAATAAAACATTAAAATTAGAATATCTTTCACAGTGATTTAATATAAGGAATCTGATTTACTATAGCATACCAGAATATCCCTCACCCCAACTTCTTTCCTCCTCTCCTAATTCCTGGTCTTCTAGCTGAAATAGTTCTGCATCTAAATTTAAATTTGATAATCAGAATTAGAATTTCTTTCTTAATAGATTTTATATTAAGCAAAGTTTGGAAAGTGATTTTTTATGACTTACCAGAATCTATTTCCTTCCTCCAACTGTTATCCAATTGGTCTGGTACCTCCTCCTCTTTGTAAGAAAATTCTGATCCTATATTCAAATTTAAAATATTACAGTTAGCTTTTTCTGTGAAAATAGTGTTTGCATACTCAGGGTAAATAATCCTCCTGTTTATAACTTACCTGAGTCAATTTTCTGCATCCAATCTCTGTATTCCTCTCCTGGCTCTCTTATTCCTAGTATAACCTGTTAGTTTTATTTTAGTTCAGGTATTCTGTTCTATGCTACATACCTAAACCTTCTTCCCTCTGGAAATATATTTTTCCTTTTTCAAAACTCTCATGTAAGTTTGCCATACCTAGCAGTACAATTAGTATGTACTTATAGTTTGTTCTTAATAGCATACCAGGTATTGTAAATAACTTTTGAGACCCTATTAGAATTCAGTTAGCATCTGATATGTTATATTATATATAATACTATCCTACCTTCTGCTTCTTTTCCCTTTTTCTTTTTAGTATTTACTTCTTCCTCCTCTATAGTCCCTGTCTTATTTTCTTCAATTTCTTTATCTGTATATGTAATATATTAGCTAGTTCTTGGAATATTTTATTTATCCTGTTACTTTGAAAGAGAATTAATAGGTTCATAGGATCTACCTGATTGTAATTCTATAATTCCTGCAATAATTAAATTTAGTATGTTAATTTATTTACAGAACATTTATATAAAAAATACCTACCTTGCTTTTTAAAAGACTGTGATAAGAAATCATCATCCAGTCCAATATCTAACCCTCCTAACCTTTGTTCTATACCTAATACTGTAGGCCAATGAGACTTTCTTAATTCATCAATTGAATTGCCATGACCTTTTCTCTCTGAACTACTCTCTTCTGCCTCCTGGACAACAGATACCTCCTCAGACATCTAAAATAATAGTTATTATTAACTTCCAGAATAATCTTTATAGTGGTATATATATTGTTTACTTACTGAAGGAGATCTAGTAGAAATTGATCTCCAATTTAGACTATTATCTATATGTGAAATGCTAATAGACTTATTCTGAAATATATTTAAGTTAGCTTAGCTTTATTGTATATTTTCTATCAATAATATAAGATTATACCATTTGATTTATCTGAGATTCTGTATCTAGCAAATCCTTAGAGTTTAATTCTGTATTCATATTTGAATATAATATATGCTCATTATCTGAAAGTTTTGGTTCTTCTAAAATGGAAATTAGTATTAACTTTCTTATCAACTAGTTAAAAGAGGATCTTTATCTCATTTATACCTAAGAACCCTTGCTTGACAGATAAGGCCTGCTTTCTTGCTACATAGAGTTTTCTATCTGCAATTCTTTTTGCAACCCTTTTCTCCTCCAAAGTTTTGCTGAATCTTGCTCTCTGAGTTGGTGCCATTGTTGATAGAATAAGGGGAAGAAAAGAGATTATGAAAAAGGAGGTTGAAGATAGTACTAAAGAGGATAAGGAGAAAGAAGATGAGAAGTAGCAAGATAAGCAGAACTTATGAGAAGAATAGACTAGGTAGTTAAAAAGCAGAAAATATAAGGCTTCATAAATAGAGTGGGAAAACATGATTCATCTTAGGAAAAAGTCATCTCAAATAAGAAGCATTAGTATTAAAAAGATATAGAGTGAATGGTCTGCCTAACATATTAGTACTAAATCTTACAATTGAAGACAAGCTCAATCAAGAGGTGCCAAGACAAGAATTATCACACTTAAAAAAAAGGGGGGGTTGGTTGAGTCATATGAGAAGAATCCTAGGTTCTTGGCATTTTTGAGGGTCAACACAATTTCCACCTTTTTTTACACTGTAGAATTACTGATCACAACCAGAAATGAGGGAAAAGTTCAAGTTAGAAATAGATCAGTAGAAAGAAAAATATTCTACTATGGGAAAATGTGGGTATATAGTTAGTTGCACCCAGGGAGAAGGAAATAGCAGGATAGCATCATTAAAAATTAGATGTCAGTATTAAATACAGTTTTTATTAAAGAAACAATAAACATTGAAGGGAATCTACATAGGAATTACACTTGTATCAAAAGAGATCAACAAAATGTATAGCAAGTATAGACTATTGCAGAAGTACTATTATGTACAGATAAGTGGAAATCCTGTCCATTCTTAGTCATATTGTGTAAAGACAATATGAGAACTGGCTAAAATCAATTAGGAAGATTTTATCCCAATTGGGAAGAGTGGCCAAAAGGCATATTTGATATTCATTTAATATGTAACTGATATCTAAGTTCTTTACTCATATTTGGATGATAGAAAGTACCAGTTTATCCATTACAGCTGATAGTCGAGCGAGACATTACAAGGACTCTCCAGTAACTATCCTCTAAGTTTTATCATAATCCAGAAAGATCTCACAAAATGTGAATATAATATCCACTTAATATTAATCGGATATAGCAGTTCTATTGTAATATCAGCAGCATAGAAATTTGGAGTCAGGTCTGTTGCAGCTCATATTCTAGTAAAGGGTTACTAGGACTGACTAGGAACTCTCCTGGAAGTTTCATCAAAAATTGGCAAATATCTCAAAAAGGCAAGGTTAACAACCATTTAATATCTATAAAATACAAAAGTTCTGTCCAGAGATTGGGTTTCTAGAAATTACAAATATGATATAGTACCACTCATGTGCTAGAGTGACATTACTGGGACTTGCTAGAAACTATCCTAGAAATTTCATCCCAATCCGGAAATGGCTCAGGAATGCAAAGGTAATATCAATTTAGCATCGATATCATATTATACTTATTTCCTGATATGTGGTTTGTAGAAATTAGAAATGTGGTCTATTACAGGTCATATTCTAAAGCAACATTACTAGGATGGGGGAGAAACAATGAGGGAAGTTTCAGCCATAGTAGACAATGTCTGTGAAAAGCGAGGATAATAGCAATTTGATATCTACTAGATATTAGACTTCTGTCCTGATTGTTAGTGCCGGGACATTGCAATTCTCGTCCATCATAGCTCATATTCTACGAAAACACCACTAGACCTTACTAGAAACTAGCCTGCAAGTGTTATCCCAATCAGGAAAGGTCTCAAAAATGCGAAGTTAATATCCATTTAATATCCATTTGATATGCCACCTATTTCCTGATTCTTAGTGCCTAGAAATTGCAATTCTTGTCTA